TTGGTCGCTGTAGCAAAAGGGTTAGAGGTGCGTTCTATCAATTGAAATTACCAGGGTGCGAGGTCCGGTCAAAGCAATAAGCAAAAAAAATATAGAAACAAGATTTTTTAACAGCGGTCGACTCTCGACAGGCAATGTAGGCGTGCGGATTATCCCCAAAAAGTACTTTAGAAATGAAAAAAGTGCTTGGATCAAAGTAACTGGTTGAAACCAATTGTAATTGATAGCTTACACAGAAATACATTTACCGTTAATTTTAACCAATTTTTTACTCATGCCTTCATGTCGAAAATGCCAAAAAACCTGATTTTTAACAGCGGCAAATTTTTGCGAAATTTTAACTTAAACTCGCTATATCTCACACATTTTAATATCGATTAATTTCAAACTTTTACACAATAAACTAGATACTATTCTTAAGAAACTGAGTTGAATCACAGTTCTTAATACTTATTAAAAACAAAATAGCGGATTTTTAAACTTTTTTATAAAAATTATGGTGGTAATTTTTACAAATGCAAAAGTTGTGTTATAAAGTTTGAACTTTCGCTTTTGTTTTACTGCAAAGTTTCCAAAGTTTTAAATAAATTATGGTGATGCCCACGAGCGGGCGCTTGCCCCTAGATAAAAAATATATTCACATAGGACTTGTACAAGTAATTTTGAATGTGGTATTAAATAAAATATTGAAGTTCATAAATTTATCAGTGTTATAGAACTTATTAAAGCTTATATTGTAAACTTTACAGACATACTTACATATATATCTATGTAACTTCATACAGTGGTGGAAGAAATATTCGATGTTTAATAATATTTAATATTCTTTTTATAAAAGTGCACATTAGGTCAAATGATACATTTGGCTGTGCGAAAGTCCAATTTCGTAAAGGCAGCTTTACATTATTTTTTGTTGCCATTCTGTAGGGAATACTCCAAAATAACAGAAACTTCACTTAGTTTTTGTAAAATAAAAAACACCGTTATACAGCAATAAACCAAAGTTACACTTTCAAAACGTTATTGATACGTTGTTTGCGCAACCGGTTTATTTTGTAAATTTCAAGTGCATTGTTTTTGTAAAGTTCGAATAAGTAAAGGAAAATTTTAAATGTGAAACAAAACTACATCTAAGTCCCAATTTAAAAAAAGTGACTTTTTATCATTTGTTTGCAAAAAAACTGACTTATTTGCATAACCTCAAAAATTTTCTGATTTATTTCCATTTATGATTTTATGTAAGCTTTTGCAATTTTGTTAACTTTCGGCAAACAAAATGGAATCGGAAATGGATAAATTAAGATGTAATGAGTTTAATTTATTTTACTTAACTTGCCGTTTCTAGCCGTTTTCAAGGAAAACGGTTTTTTCTGGGCTATCATGCTATCACAAAAGGCAAGTTGTTTGAAGTTTGGCTGATTGGATGTACGAAAAAAGTAAAGCCTTTTTCGGTTGTCAACCATGTTGAAAAAAAATTTGGTGCTGCTGATATTTGAGAAAGTTCCATGAAACTCTTAGAAGAAAAAACGCGTATTTTTTGCAATTATNACGAAAAAAGTAAAGCCTTTTTCGGTTGTCAACCATGTTGAAAAAAAATTTGGTGCTGCTGATATTTGCGAAAGTTCCATGAAACTCTTAGAAGAAAAAAACGCGTATTTTTTGCAATTATTTATCAAATAAATATGAAAATTATGGGAAACAATTTGGAAAGGATGCTAAAATATTTATATCTGAAAACATTGCGTTTCTTGCTGATGAGGTTCTTTTCGAAATCAAAAAGCCAACTGTGTCGACCATCAGCCGGATTCTAACTTTCGCTATCGCTAAAGTGCTAAAATAGGATAGCCAACCTTTTTCCGAATTTTTAGCTATCTCCAAAAATATCTCCAACATTTTTTGGTGATAAATAATCCATTTTAATGGTGATAAATAGTGAAAATNTATGGGAAATAATTTGGAAAGGATGCTAAAATATTTAGATCTGAAAACATAGCGTTTCTTGCTGATTTCATCTCCTGTAGCGTAGCCGAGGATATGTTACAAATACAGTACCGCCTTCGCAAAAAGGCAAATCCTTGAAAGAACTTACGGACTGAAATTTCGAGTTTTTTCTACTCAAAGTGAATAGAGCTTTGAACATTCTTTTAACAAATTAGTTTCATAAACATTCGTATTCCTTTCAGGAAGTTACCAGCGATTTTTGGTAAATGTGTCACAAAGCAGCATTTGTATTCTGGTAATATCGGTGGAGAATTTGGAAATACTGAAATCTCAAGTGAAAATGAAGTGTTTTATGAAGACTAACTGCTTCAGGAATCTCTCCTCAAGACATATCTGCGAGACATGTAGGAAATATTTTTCTTTTTTTAATTTAGGAATTTCGATAATGCCATAACTAATCGCTAGAAGAAACCATTTATGTAGATGTGACCATACTTATTTTATTATCTAGCTCATTTTCAAGGGGAGGGGGTTGAGTATGGTAAGAAAACAACTTGTGTCAAAACCAAGCTAATTGGACAATGTTTTTGAGTACTACCTAAACACATATACTCATTATTTGAACATACAAAAAAGCAGTAAAGTCTGTTTTACGAAAGCCAAGCCTGTTTGACATTTTATTTACTGCCTTTACACTTGTTTTAACGTTTGCCATCTTTTTACATTAAAATAATGCAATATTTTAGCTGCTATTAATTTCGCACAGAAAAAGTAATTATTTGACCTAATGTGAAGTGTAGCGCATTACATATGGGCGATTCCACCGTCACGGTTGTACATTTGCACAGAAAAAAATTTCTTTTTATATGGAAGAAAATGCCTAGCAGCGTCAGCCAAAAAAATATTAAAAATCAACGCGATTTTCTAGCGTCTTGAAATTTGCACTTTATTAACACCTAATGGGCTATAAAACTGCATATCAAATATGTTTCAAAAAAATCTGGTTAATAAGTTTGACATTTTTGGGGGATTTTAGTAAAATTTTTTGAATTTTTATAATTTTTTAACAAAATTTGAAACGTGGATTTATATGACGTGTGTTATATAATGCGCTATAATTTTATAAAAAAAAACCAAACCTGGTTAAAATAAAAAGTTTGTAGTATTTCTTCAACCACTGTATGTAGGTAAATACACTGAGGGGAAAAAATATTAAAATCAAATAGAAACGTAATTGATCTAACTATAAACGTCAACGAAAGTACCGTATATTGGTAAATATTCAATTCAATAACGCGCATATTAAAATTACCGCGTTCGTACTGAACAAGCATCCGTGAAGTGAATAATCAAAACAAAAACTAAAAAAAAAATTTTATTTGCATATTGCCTGCAGTGGAATTCGAACCCGACCATCTCCGGATATCAACAACTTGTGGCAAGCATCCTTGCTACACCCAGACATAAATTTCCATTCAAATGTTGAATATCCATCAACACCACAGAACGCGATTTGTACGGATAAACATGTATGTACTATGTATGGATGTGTGTGTTGTCACAGCTCTCATAGCGGCGCTCTGCATGCTGGGGTGCGTATGTACACTTACATATATGTACATACTCAGATGTGAACAGTCAAATACGTGCGTAATAAATTTTGTATGAAAATATTATTTTTAAATACGAACATTTTTAAACGATAATCAAATATAAAGTATTCATTTTTACTATGCATTATTTCCCTCAGTGTAGATATATATGTAAGTATGTCTGTTAAGTTTACAATAAAAGCTTTAATAAAGCCTATAACACTGATCAATTTATGAACTTCAACATTTTATTTAATACTGCATTCAAAATTACTTGTAAAGTGCTATGTGAATATATTTGTCATGTAATGGCAAGCGCCCGCTCGTGGACGTCACCATAATATATTTATAACTACTAGCTGTTTAAACCTGAAACTTTCCCAAAAACTTCCTTAGATATTCGTCTATAATGCTGCACTAAAACAAAAGCGAGGGTTCAAACTTGATAACAACTTTTGCATTGAAAAAAATTACCTCAATAATATTTATAAAAAAGTTTAAAAATCCGCCATTTTGGCTTTAATAAGTATTATAAACTGTGCTTAAACTCAGTTTCTTTGGAATAGTATCTAGTTTATTGTGTAAAAATGTGAAAACAATCGATAATAAAATGAGTGAGATATAGCGAGTTTAAGTTAAAATTTCGCAAAAATTTGCCTCTGTGAAAAATCAGGTTTTTTGGCATGAAGGCATCAGTAACAACTTGGTTAAAATTAACGGTAAATGTATTTCAGTGTGAGCTATCGATTACAATTGGTTTCGACCTGTTACTTTTACCCAAACAGCTGTCGGGATTTTTTGGGCATAATCAGCACGCCTAATGGAAAACCTCCGAGTGTATTTCCGGCTTATAACATTTTTGAAAAGCTCAGTGAAATTACTACAATTTTGCATGGAAAATCAACAACGGTATTACGTACGGCGAGGCATATTATCATCCTTTAAAATGAGTTTTCATTTCTGCATTACCAGTGTGGAAAAGAGCAGCATTGAATGTTTCCCACTTTTATACAACTTTCTACAAGGAACGCGATGAATTGCCAAATGAAATGTGAAATGTCATAACTGGGCACTTGGTAAATCTCCTGAAATCGTTGTCAGATTACACTATGTAACAAGGTTTTTGTCCCTGGGTTGTAATTGTTATTTCCTAGTCAGTTAGGTCCCAAAAGTATAGAAAACAGCTATTGTCGCAAGATAACTTTGCTTTTGTGACCATGGCAGCGCTTATCTGCGTTTATTTTTATGCTTGTTTGTTGAAAACTGATACACGAGCGCATACAACTTGTTTTCTCTACATTTGTGTGTGTTAAAACTAGTGTTGGGCAGTATCGATTCCAAAAGTACTCAGTACTCGATGCTGAAAAGTATCGACAGTACCCGATGCTTAAAAGTATCGATACCAAAGTAGTAAATACACAAAAGTACTCGATACTGCCCAACACTAGTTAAAACAACAAAGTCGTCGCAATAAATTTTGCAACATTTTTGTGATTTATTGAGAGTTGTTTCTTATTTTATTACAGATAAATTCGTTCAAACATGGCTTCACGAGGCTGCAAGTATCCTGCAGATGCATTTTGTTATGTCTGCGGATATTTTATCAAAACAAGAGCGAATAAGTACTCTTTGGAAACAGGTTTTAAAATGTGCGAAGCTTACAATGCTTATTTCGGCATGCCTGTGGGTGATCAAGACAAATCCTGGGCACCTCATTTCGCGTGTGAAAACTGCAAAAGGACTTTGGAAGGTAAGACATTTTAAAACTATATTGCTTTGTTATGGGTAAAATAAATGTTTCTATTAACTTTTTTATTAGACAGTACTTTTCTTTTCTAATTCTAATAAAGGAATTCCCCAAGAAGCTCACTCGTGTTGAGAAAGCTGCTTGGATGAGTTTTATGTCAGTGGTACAGGGATTCCTAGGCAATCACAAAGCCGCAAACTACGTGGAGCTGGTCGAAAGTCTGGTGGAGAACTACGGCAAAATGGGCTGCAGGATGTCTCTCAAACTCCATATTCTGGATGCACATCTTGACAAATTCAAGGAGAACATGGGAGCATATTCAGAGGAGCAAGGCGAGCGCTTCCATCAGGATATAATGGAATTTGAGCGGCGATACCAAGGACAATACAATGAGAACATGATGGGAGATTACATTTGGGGATTGATTAGAGAAAGTGACTCGCAGTTTAAACGCAAATGTCGAAAAACCACCCGCTTCTGATTTACTTTTATGTTTTTGGTTTTCTGAAGTTTTAATAAAATTTAGTTTTGATTTATATATGCTGTTCTGTATGATTTTCTCTGTAGTGAAAGACTCAAACACGTTTTTCTCATAATTTTAGCATATTTTAATGAATCACATTGTCCTGGTCACAAAAGCAAAGTTTCCGAGGAATATTAGGTGGTTTCCATACTTTTAAGGCATAACAGACTAGGAAATAACAATTACATCCCAAGGACTGAGAAATTTTTTTTTTTTGTTACTTAGTGTTATTTGTCGGATAGTAGAGTGATATCGGTTTGGTATAATAAAATCCATTTACGAAGCATTCATAGATCTTCAGAGTACTTCGACATTGAAACACACATTTGAATCTGTGTCTGTGAACGAGTTTTGGGTTAGTGTTAGGAGTACATATCATTAAGTCACTAAAAAGGCTGTCTTTACTTTGCTTCCTTCTGTCACAACGTACTCTGTCAACAGGGGTTTCAGCTTACACTTATACAAAAAACAAATTCAGGTTGAAATTGGCTACCCCAGAAATGTGCATAAAGCTTTCAGATGCTATATCGAACTATAAAGCAATAATTAATAATAATGAAACCATTTGATTCTTCACATTAAAAATTAAAGTATGTATACTATTTCTAGTAAAAGTTTTTATTCATACTTAAGTCAGTGCCTTTGGTTTTTAGTAATTTGATGTGGGGTTCCATAAAATGGAAAATGCTTAATAAGGGTTCCATCATCTTAAAACTTTAGGAGCCCCTACTCTAACAAACTAAAACGACCACATTGGCGCTACTATTTGACATTTTTTACGTTTTGTTAAAAGAATGAGAAAAAAGTAAAATTTAATCCTTGACTCTAATATATTCATATTAGGAGTTTAAATCTAGTTATTGGAGAAAATTACTAAACGAAAGTTTTTAATATTGAGATTAAAAACAAAGACTGCAATTTTATAAAAATATTGCTGAAGTGCAAAAGTTATGATAAGTAAAAGGATAAAAACAAAATCTTTTATAACGGTAAATATTCAAAGTCTGTGATTTTGTAGGACGTTGTAAATATGTATGTGAAGTTGGTATACGGTATGACACAAAAAGCCACAAAAAAAACCGTTCCGAGTAGCTTTAAATAGTTCTAGAGTTCTTGAAAAGGAAGAAAAAAAATTCTGGATATTTTGACAGAAAAAAAATTGCTTCAAAAATTGTGTGTGAAATATTCACGCAGCATACCATATGTGGCAAAAAGGCAAATAAAAATTGAAAAAATAGTTCTTGAGTTCCTGAAAAGAAAAACCATTCCTGCAAAATTGCGCCGAAAAAAACAATTTCAAGTCAAAAAAATTTATTGTTTGAAAGGAAAAAATTAAAACTTACACCGAAAAAACATCCTTAAAAATAATCGAAAAAGTTAAATTTTTGTAAAAAGTAAAAATTAAAACTTTTCTGAGTAGCTCTTCAGTAGTTCTAGAGCTCCCACAAATGAAAAAAAGTTCCGCAAAATTACGAAGAAAATTTTTTTTTCAAAAAAGTCGGAAAGGTAAATTAAAAAAAAATATATGAACTAAAACTGTTCTGGGTAGCTTTTAAAACGTTCTAGAGTTCCTGAAAAGGAGATAGAAAGTTCTGCAAAATTACGCCGAACAAAATTTTTAAGTCGAAAAAGATAAATTTTGAAAATTAAAACTAAAATTTTTCTGAATAGCTTTTCAAAAGTTCTCGAGTACCTGACACGGCAAAAGAAATTTCTGCAAAGTTACGCCGAAAAAATATTTTTTTTTAACTCCAAAAAGCTTAAATAAAAAAAATAAAAACTAAAACTGTTCTGAGCAGCTATTCAATAGTTCTAGAGCTCCTGAGAAAGAAAAATAAAGTTCTGCCAAATTACGCTGAAAAAAACATTTTTTCAAAGAACTCAAAAAAGTTAATTTTTGAAAAAATAAAAATTAAAACTGTTCTGAGTAGGTCTTCAATAATTCTAGAGTTTCTGAAAAGGAAAAATAAAGTTCTGCAAAAAAAGTTTTTTTTAAGTCGCAAAAGTTACACCCTTATTCTAGAACCCAAATTTTCGTAATTCGTAATTCGTAGCTACGTTACGAAAAACGAAAAATCGACATGCTGAAACCTTTGCGGAAAAATGTGCAGCATTGTCAGATATCAGTTGTTTTTCGAACTCCGCTGTATGAAGGACAACAAGGGGAAAGGAATTCAAAAAACACCCATTATGTGCTTGTTTATAGTAAAATTTATTGATTTTAAATATTTTGAGGAAAATTATGGATTCTGATGCATTTGCAGTTATAGCAGCGGTGTATGAGCAATAGACTCACAAAGGTATGCGGTGCTGCCGGTCACCATGGGCGCATCTATGTCAGCTTCTGGTTGAATTGTTGAACCACAAGCCAGAACTCCTCCTATTCCTGAAGAACTGGTTCCCAATCGAGTTAATGCAATAACAGATTCTTCCAAGCCATTGAAAACATGCATTTTGTTAGGTCCACCACCTGTTGCGCTTGCTTCTACTTTCGGCCGCGCTTAGGGATTATAACTATTACTAAGTAGAATTCTCCTTTCTGTGTTGCCGGAGAAGAGGGGCTTCCGCATGTCAAAGGTATACAATATTTCTTGTGCATGTCACAGTATTTTTGCGCAGAACCCACATCGAAATTTGCAAGAAAGTGCGTAGTGAAAACCGAGTTTGTTAATAATTTGAAACATTTATTCTAAGTACAAGTTTAATGCTTTGATTATACGTGTATGTAGTTTTTGGATTAGGGTTATGCGTTTGGACGCCACAACCGAAAATCAGAGTACAAATAACTAAACCGGACCCAAGAATCTTTCTTGCCCGTTTATATAAAGCAGTGGATAAAAATATATGTATATGCGAAAGGCAAATTTATCTGTTTAAATAAACACCACTAATATTTCCTGCAAACACACATATATCTTTTATCTCGCCTCCGACACAGAATTGTTTTCGTACAAAATTACGCAAAAAAGCTTACTCGTTCGTTTTTAGGCATGCCATTGTTACGTATTTCGAAAGTTCGAAGATACGATTCGGAATTTTCAGTTTAAATGAAACTTTTTCAAATCAAATTAAACCATTTTCAAACAAAGCGAAACCTTTTTCAAATTAAATGAAACCTTTTTCAGATTCAATGAAATTTTATTCAAATTAAATGAAACTTCCTTTTAGGAGTGTTTTATTTAATTTGAAAAAGGTTTAATTTAATTTGAATAAAATTTCATTGAATCTGAAAAGGCTTTCATTTAATTTGTAAAAGGTTTCGCTTTGTCTGAAAAAGGTTTCATTTAATTTGAAAATGGTTTCGCTTAACTGGAAAAAGGTTTCATTTAATTTGAAAAAGGTTTTATTTCATTTGAAAGTGGTTTAATTTAAACTGAAGGGGATATATATGAATAATCACTTTTGGCATAATTTTCCAGAACTTGTTTTTCTTTTCAGGAACTTAACAATTTTAGTATTTATTTATTTTTCTAATTTTTTAAATCATATTTTTTCGGCGTAACTTTGCAGAACTCTTTTTCCTTCTCATGAACTCTAGAATTACTGAAGAGCTACTCAGAAAAGTTTTAATTTTATTATTTTTCAAAAATTGTATTTTTTCGAAATTTTTTCTTCGGCGTAATTTTGCAGAACTTTCTTTCTCCTCTCTCTCTAAAACCATTGAAGAGCTACTCAGAACAGTTTAGTCTTTATTGTTTTTTTCAAAAATTTAAGTTTTTCAAAAATTTCAAGTTTTTTCGGCGTTTTTCGGAACTCTAGAACTATAGTTTCTTCAAAAATTTAGAAACTTTCGACTTTTTTGAAAAAATGTTTTTTCGGAATAATTTTGACGAATTTTCTTTTTCCTTCTCAGGAACTCTAGAACTATTGAAAAGCTAGTCAGAACAATTTTAATTTTTATTTTTTTAAAAAAAATTTTTTTTCGACTTATTTGAAACATTTTTTTCGGGCGCAATTTTGCAGAACTTTTTTTTTACTTTCAGGTACTCAGAACTATTGAAAGGCAACTCAGAACAATTTTGGATTTACCTTTTTGCCACATGTCGCATGCTGAGTGAGTTTTTGAAAAATTTTGCTTTTGTCAAAATATCCAGAACTTTTTCTTCCTTTTCAAGAACTCTAGAACTATTGGAAGGCTACTCAGAAAAACTGTTTTTTTTTTTCGTTTTGCGTCATATTGTATGCCACCTTCCCATGTTTTAAATAGTATTTGTAACCTATTTGCAACAAAAAAATTGTTTTCGGTAATTGGTAGCTTACATAAAATCGCAATAAGGGGTCGATATGTATAACGAAGTCGAAGTACCTTGATATTTTGAAAGCTAGGTTTCTTTTTTCAAACATTAAAATAAAATACTTTTTTCGCGTCTATATTGCATTTTGCAAAGCAAACTTTTTAAACGAGCAAAACAAATTTTTTTGAGTAATCATGCTTTAAGTAACCTGATTAATCATCGTTTCGAGTAATGAAAATCTTAATTACTCGAGTAACTAATTAACCGAACTACTGATTAATCAACTTTCTCGAATAATCGCAAAACTCCAATAGGGACAATAATTGCCTTTTCCTAGCAGCGTGAATAACACTTTATTACACTAAAATTGAATGGGCTACAGAACTCCATACTCAGAATCTTTCTAAGAAAACTAATTAAAAATCCAAATTTTGATGAACATTTTTTAAGTTTAATTAATTTTTGTGAACTTTGTGCAAGCTTTGAAACTTTTAGTTATGCGGTTTTATCGTATGTGACAATGATTTTTTTTTCTTGTGGGCGAAATTAACATATGGGATAAGAAATTATAATGTAGAGACCTTTCTACAAAAAAATCTGGCGGTGAGTTATATTTCTCAATTATCTCAGCAAATCTAAACTTTGGTATTGAAGCAGAGAAAAATACAAAAAAAAATTTCCTGTAAAATTTGGTTTTTATATCATACGATAATTTTGCGCAAAGGGGTCGATATAATGAAAATAGTTCATAGTTTTTCTCTTTTTACATGTACAATAAATATTTCTAAAATAAAGGTATTTTTTGATTATTTTTCGGTTGTCTTTTTTTTCGTGCCTTTTTCGTATTCTAGTGCCTTTTTCTGCTTTTATTTGGCCTTTTCTAGCCTATTTCGTTATGTTATTTTGCCTTTTTTTATAAGTTTTTATGTCCTAAAAATCCGTTCCCTGCTCATAAGTCTAAATTGGTAAGGTTTTGGCTGAGTTATTCAAGTTTTTC